ATTGATGATTCAATCACAAAAGTGAGTTCGACGATTTTCCCTTGGAAAATCCCTTGTTTACAGAACTCGATTCGACTTCTACGACAATTCTGTGTTGAATGCAGTACTTTGGGATATCTTGCATTATGCCCTACTGCATCGTACACAACATCGATATTCCACTTGTACAGGATCTTTTCCTGTTTGTGTGGATACAGATTGTCCGACAGACTTGCGTCCCGACATCTTGCACGATCAAATTCCGATCACACGTGTCGAAAACCTCGTACTTGAATAGTTTCGTTTGGAACGTAAAAACTCATATTTTGTCATATCCCAACAAGTCTTGCCTTCTCCGCTTTCAGCTTCTTCAACTTTGCCTCTTCGATCACAGCGATCATCTCATTGATCCGGTCAGGGTCGTCTTGATCGTTGTCGTCCGAGACGTCCAAGAACTGCCCCTCAGATTCCACTTCGCTAGTATTGACATCCGGGATGGATAGCACCTCATTGGAGGCTTGGTTGAGATGCTCGTCCATTTCCTTCTCGGTCCGACAATAACCATATTGTTGGCCATGAACAATAAATTCTCCCGTTTCCTTGTCAATGTCCTTGGTGGATGGGACTCCTTCGTACCAACGTGGGGCTGCTCGTTCGCCACTGCTTCGACGTTCTTTGTGGAGCCGGAGTCGGCACTTGTTCTTCAGCTTCCCACATATGATCTTGTCTTGCTTGCTGTTTGTCGTAGGTCCGACACATTCAACTCGACAGTGGTCTGTTGTGAGATGGACCCAAGCGCTGAGTGGGACCTCTTTTTCCTCTTCATGATCGGTGAACTCAGCTTGATCTTCAGGTTCTGTATCTTCTGGCTCGGTGTCGGGTGGTGGTCCTTGAGGATTCCTTGAAGGGGCTCCATCCGAAAGCGTCGCATCATGGTCTGAATCTGGGGCATCTTCCTTTTCATCACTGTTGGCGATATCTCGCCAGTCGGGTCAAGGGAACGGCCAAAGCCGTTCTCGTCGAATGAGAATGACGACAAATGGCGGAGGTTACGCTGTCTCCCTTGCAACTCAGCATGCCTGCGCTGGATGCGTCGGAATGTAGGGTCTCCACTGGTACTCTGGTCCCTTCACGTGTCTGAGCAGGAGTTTGTCCTGTATTGGGAGAAAAGAAACGTGTCACGTATTCTGGTAGGCTCATGATGGCACTCCTCTCCCCTATAACTCAGATTCTTGTCTAAAAATCACCTTACCACCTAGCAGTTAAAAAATTTCTACCTATTGCTGGAGTCTGAAGGTGTTTTGCTCAAGTTCCGACTTGGATTGATTTGTGTGCTTTTTGATGCAGCTGCAAGTCATTTCAATTCGGGGCTTTTCGAAGGCATTCCTCCAGCTTCGTACTTTGTACGCTCATGACCACCGGAATCTGGAATTCTTCTTCTCTCTTTCTTTCGTAACCTTTCTATACGGTCAGCTGGGTAGAGTTCAGAATTTTTACCGCTCCGCACACCTACGAATTGCATTGAAACTGTTGAAGAATGAAGCGAAGGAACACGAAGAGAAGACGACGACGACCGCCTGCATATTTCCATGCATCGGCTACGGCTTCGGAAGAAAGGTTTCTGCACCAAGCAATTCAGAATTCAAAGATTGATAGATCCAGACAGAAGGACTTGGACGTACCAATAGGCCCAACATTCTATCCCACAGTGGAGGATATGGAAGGCAGTCCGCTGGAGTATATTGAGAAAATTAGGCCTGTAGCGCAAAAGTATGGAATCTGCAAAATCAAGCCACCACAGGGATGGAATCCACCTCCAGTTTGTGAGTATGCATCATTGCGTTGCAGCATGCGAGGAATAATTGAATCTGCTTCAAAAATTGCTTTCTCAATATCTAGCGATTGATTCAACAAGACCGTTTACATCTGCGTAGCCGATTTGTGCATTCCGTTATTTCTCATTACAAAATTTCTTTCCTAGGCGCTGATATGAACACCAAGAAAAAATTTCCCACAAAATTACAACAACTTGATAGACTTCAAGAAGGAATAAGTTTTGGAGATGGAGGCGAATATAACCCTGGAGAATACCAACGAATGGCCAGCAAATGCACTAAGGACTACAAAGCGAAGAACTATCCAAGCCACGACGTGGTGGTCTCACAAGAGGGCTATGATCAGCGCAAAATTATTTTCTCTGCAGAGAATTTGGAAAAGGACTACTGGTCTATTGTTGAGACTAGAAGCCGGAGTATCTCGGTTGAATATGGCAATGATGTGAATACAGATGAGTTCGGTTCTGGTTTCCCTCTCTCTGAAAGAGGTCGCTCTTTAGTTGGGACGACAAATGGCAACAAGATCAAGTTGCCAGAGCCAAATTTTGGAACGGAGGACTACTACAAAGAAACCTGGTGGAATACGAACAACATGCCCTCAGCGCCGGGGAGTGTCCTTCGTCATGTCAAGGTTGCAATCAACGGCATCAACGTGCCTTGGATGTATTACGGTTCACTTTTCACAACCTTTTGTTGGCACAACGAAGATAACTATTTGTATAGCGTGAATTACCATCACGAAGGAGCTCCCAAACAGGTCAGTTCTCCGCGTCTCCAAATATGTTTGCTTGTTGAAAATTTGTGTCTGAATTCTCGATGTATTTTCAAACACAGTGGTATGGTGTCCCGGGAACAAAGGAAGATTCAAATGGACTGGAACAAGTTTTCAAGAATTATCTTTCTATGAAAATGAGGGACGTACCAGATCTCTTGCACCATATCACAACCATGTTCAGCCCCCGCCTCTTGCAGCAATCAGAAGTTCCAATTTACAAGCTGCTTCAATACCCAGGGGAATATGTTGTGACTTTTCCAAGGGCCTTTCATGGTGGGTTTTCCATGGGACCAAACATTGGAGAAGCCGTTAATTTTGCGACCCATGATTGGATCGCCTACGGAAGTGATGCAAACGAGCGGTACAGGGTAAAAAGAACTCGTTGTTGTTTGCATTTGCCAACCCAAACCCCATCTCTAAATGTTTTCTTTTGATTCTATTGACAGTCTTTTGCTCGACCTGCTGTTTTTTCTCACGATCGCTTGACATTCACTATGGCCCAACATGTTGAAGAAGAACAATCCCACAAGAATTGTAGCTTGTTGCTGAAAGAATTAGAGCGCATCGTAGAAGAGGAACTCCAGCTACGCAAGATACTGTTTGATTCAGGTGTGAGAGATGTTTCTGAACAGATTGAATTGCCAAAAAACTGTCTTGACCAGCTAGACGAAGATTCTGCAGAATACGATGACAAACGACTATGCCATGCCTGCAAACATGTTTGCTTTTTTTCTGCTGTTGCCTGTGTATGCAGCCAATCAAATGTAAGCTGTCTCCGTCACAGCCACTACATGTGTAGGTGCCCTGGAGAACGGCGGTATATGATGATATGGAGCTCCGAGAGAGAACTGAATTCTACGATTCAACGAGTCCGTGACCATGCCAACTGTTTGAAAGTAAACCAGAATGAGCAAGAAGTTGTTCCAATTGTGGTATGCCTTCCGTCAGTTGCGCTTGGGGCTCAAAGAGATAAGGAAGAACACAAGAATGATTTGATTAACGTGGAGCCATGTGGTCAAAAGGAAACTGTGTTTGGCGGAACAAAGGGAGGCAACTTTCCCATCCAACGTGCAGATTCTTCAGATTCTGTGTTCACCACACCAGAAGTTATATCAGATGAAGATCGAGGGGGGGGGGGTGTCCTTGTTGATGATACAGATGATGAAATAGAGCTAATCGGTGTCCGATTTGCAAATAGCAGCTCATACTAGCTGTCGGTGCCAGAGGCAAAAGAGATGTCCAAAGTCTCTGGCCTGCGTCTCAGAGTGAACCACGGTGATCCTGTGGTATTTCTCGAGAATGTGGTATCCTGCACCACTAAACTGTACTAGCTCTTTCTGCCAGGGATACCCCTCGGATTATTGTGAAACCCATTTCAGATAGGTCACTGAAGAATCTTTGCACCCTTGCAGCAGGGGGTCATAGAATTCCAGCTCCACAACCAACCTAACTATTTAGGGGTCAAAAACTAATATTTAGTATGGCTGTGCACAGGGGGTTTTGGCCGATAGGCTCTTGTTGGAGTGATCTGATTGGTCGGAATGCGTATTTCTTTTGCACATGCCATGCCGCATGCTCTAATAAATTAGCCCCCATTTACACAACATACGTCTTTCCCAATGTCACATAATTCCTAATTGATGGCATCTCTACATTTCACCTTCATGCCCTTGAAAATTGCGTATTTGCAGCCTCCCCTTTACTTCATCATCAAAGATTCCAACATGCCTTCTGAAATTCTACCAGAAGAAGCCAAAAATATCATGGCAGCAGCAAACCGGCAGTTGGCACAGAACACTGCTGATTCAGGGTTCGAATGCTGGAAACTAAGCATTGAAAAGGACTCCAACAAGAACAACATCAGCAACGTCAACAGCAATTGTTGGCACAGCAAGTTGGAAGGTTTGTTGGATACTTTCCTATATATATATATGTATATATATATATAAGCGCGGATGGTGCGAAGAAGGACCCCGAGGAATTGGGCGATGGGCGTAGCAGTGGTGGTGGACTGGAACCATTCTTGGACTTCTTAGAGTAGGAGCTGCCACTGGGTCTTGGCCGGGTCAGAAGGGCAGCGGGGGACGTGTAGGTGGTCTTCCTCCAGGCCGCACAAGGGGCATCGGTTCTTGGAGTCGAGGCCCCATCGTTTACGGAACTTGCCGGCACCGCACATCCCAACGGTGTGTTTTGTGGTGAAGCGCTGTTCGGCGGGCTTCAGGGACTTCATCGCTCGGTGCACTATCGAACAGTCCACCGATTGGAAGTGTTCGGGAGCAAGGCGGCCTTTGGCTGCCCAGTATTCCATCAATTCCGGCAGGACAACGGCTTTGTCCACCGATTCCAAGGCCAGGCAGGAGGCCTTCTCGTTGTCGATGTAGATCGCACAGGGCTCGGAGAAGAACTTGGGATTGGTGGCGATTGTGTCGTCGGTGGCGATCAGCTCGTCGGCGTAGCCCTGGGCAATGTCGTCCACCTCGGAGTTCCGTCGTTCCCACCAAGACATCTGTCGCCATGTCTTGGTTCGGTCAGCGTGGCCGCCCACGTGTT